AAAACCCCAAAACCCCAAAACCCCGGATTATCTGGATTGACTAAATAAGAGTTATAAAATCAAGATTAAATATTTAAAGTATATTTGTATCAAAGATTATTGTTACGATTTGAATTGAATCCAGAGTAATATGATGAAAAATACTATCTCTTATTTTGCATCTGAAGGAATTGCTGTATATTTTCATTATTGATTCCTTACTAGTCCCCGCTTCTGGCACTTGATGCCTCCTTGAGTTTAGACTGATTTTGGAAATCTTGATAGGCATTGGCAGTTAGATTAGGTGTACCTCTGATTGTGGCAGCTACTTTCATGTATCTTTTCTTATGATACATGCTATGGATGGATTCAATGTATTCTTTGCCAAAGTTTCTAATCCCACTTTTGCTATTGAGTTTATCTTATGATCTGTTACTTGGCATTCCGTTTTGAATTGCTCCAATTAGAGCGCTGTTACTGCTAATTTAGCTTATCTTTTTTTTCTAGTTAGAGATGCTCTTTATATCAATAATCTTGCTGAGTCTGTTCTTTTTCTAATAGAATGACTGAGATGTAAGTATCTTAGGTCTATTAGAGTTAGTAATCATTTAATGCGATTGGAATGATAGTTTTTAGTTGTTGACACTGAATGACTTGGACTGCTGTTAATTAAACGACTGAATATTATTCTATTGCTGTTCAATTTGATTATTCATAGTGTCATTGAATACAGGTAAATTAGCTTAGAGCTACAAATCATACTAGTCCATCGAAGAGTTAGTGTATGACTACCTCTGTTTAGTGCGACATATCAAGCTAGACTGAAACAGCTAGTCAAGGAGTGCTCTATCATCGTAAGCATTCGAGGAGTTATTCTTGTTGTTGGCATTATTAATACTGATATTCTAAAATTAGCTTAGATTGTTGGTGTTGTTCATATTACTGCTGTTTTAATGAATGTTGCTTTAATGCATATTTTAATAAGTCGAGTCAGGCTAGGTAAGTTTACTAAGACTTCGATATTTTTAGATCTTCGAGGGAAGAGTGTTTATTGGGACTGAGACATGCTCCTGGGACACTCTAACATCACGAGAGACTGACCTCTTGCCATTCTTAATGATTATGTCTTGTCTGTCAGCTAAATACTTGTTATTGGGTGATATGGTTCTGCCGGTTTCCCTTTACGATACAAATATCGACTTTTAGATATCTGGGGATCCTGAGATGAAGTGATTCGAAAAGGAAGAGATGCCTTTGTTTACTTTTGACAAATCAATGTTTAAACCACCTCCAGTAGTGCCAATACCCATGTTGTTATTATTGATATTTGATTAGGTTTCAAAGGTTTGATGCTGTCTCTAAGTCGATTACCCTTAGTCTATATTTTCATGCTTAAGCGAGATCTTGACAGGTGAGTTAGCAGTAGTGCTTAGATTGATCTATGGCTTAGACTTCTTCTTTATTTTGACTGCACTTTGGGCTCTCTGCAGCATCAATTCATTCATGTTCTTCTTGTTCTGCCATTTGCTCATAAACTGATTCATAATTAACTCCACCAACTAATCATTCTTAAGTATGCAATGCTATTCCAGCTCAGACCAGGTGCCTTTCACGTGCTGCAAAAGCCGGATGAAGTCATCAGCTTTTATTAAGTATATCTAGTTCTGCACAGAGTTGCACAGTAGAGAGTAACTGTAGTTACGTTCGAACATTAAATCTATCTCCCCAAACGATTAGCCTGACCCTAGCAAAGTCACACTGATGCTCTGCAGTGTCTTGTCTTCGTTTACCTTCAACTTTTTGTTGTTTAAAGAGTGCACCACATATGGATTAGCCTATGCTTACTTCTATGTCAAGGCTGAGTTGTAAGCTTATATGCTCGATCCCTAGGCACCTTAGGTACCTTAGGAAGCAAGTTAATTTTGATGATGGCTATTATGGTGTGAATTAGACTCTATAGTTTTGATTTTGTCTCGTCTTTTGATTGAGTCCAGCAAAGCCTCAATATCAGTCTCAGTGGTCACACTTCTGGGAATCTTTTTGGTTATTTAGAATTCACCATGCTTAATAATGGCTATGTGTTCAACTGGGTCACCCTCTCTAAAGACCACTGCACTCCTCGGATACTCTTTTGATGTTAGATAGTATCCAAGATTCTAAAGATTTTTCCGAGTCCATCTACGGAGAAATGAGATCCCATGGAGAAATTCCTGCTTCAAAACTTGAACCTTCATCTCCATTTTCTATAGAACTCTTTCATAATCCTATTTATTCATCACTGCGAAGTGGCAATCATTCAGACACATGATATTTGCTTATCTGGGTTTGTTGGTTATTAGAGCCAACTCTCCAAAACTCTGACCAGATTATAACTTCATTAATTCCTGGTGCTCTTTGATATTTTATAACTCCTCTTCTATATCCTCAATTATCTATGCTTTTTGCTTGATATCATTATTGGCATGTGCAATTTTATCGGTTAGATCTCCAGGCACCTCTTGCCCATTGACAACATATTCCTGAGACTTGACTAGATATTCATTGTAGGATTTTCTGGATTTAAGCATTTTCTACTTTAACTGTGAGATTTCCTTCTCTCTTCTCTCGTATTCTTTGTTCATCACCCTCACACTCACCTGGCCCTCTATAATTATATAGAACTTATCGCCTTGCTCTCCCTGCGAGAAGACTAGTTCGCCTGCTTGGTGATACTCATAGGTAAGAGATTCCACAATTAACTTGTAGTTTTCCTACTTTATATCCCTTTCCTTGAAGAATTAGATCTTTTAAATCAGAGGAATAAGGTATTCAAGGTCCTCGTCAGTCCTTCGCTTTGAAGGTTTGATCAATATTTATGTCATCAAGCGCGTCTTCTCAGAAAGTTTAGAATCTTTTTCCTGAAGGTGCTTTTCATGCACTTTCATTAACAGAACCTGTCTAAAATTCTCAATCATATTTTAGTAATCAGTTTATGCAATCAAATTATATAAAATGTAATTAGAATTGACTAGCTTGTAGTATTTTGAGTTTTACTAATTTAGACATAATTAAATGAATCTCCAATAATTAAGAGGTGGGGTTTTGGGGTTTTGGGGAGATCGGAA